TGTGACCCACTAAGGTCTTAGCCTCTGTTTGTCATCCATTATTTCAAAACATTGTTTGCTACAGTAAGATTCTCCTCCACACATTTATCCAATAAAATATTCTACACATAAATCAATAAAGTAACTTTAAATTTTAACCACATATTTTCCAAAAAATACTATTCATTACACCATCTTAACAATAAAAATGAATGACAAACAGGCTCATAATTTTAAAGTAGGCTATGGAAATAATAGAGCAATAAAGAAATGCTAAAATCCTCTTTTCTGTGTTTTCCAACTAATTTGACTGAAAGTTCTCCAATGGCCTATGGGCAACACAATTGATTGTTTCAAATCCTCTTCTTTTTATCTTCAAGTATCTATATATAAATATCTATTTCTGTGTGGTAATATATAAATTTGTTCGAGATTATAGAAGAACAAGATGAAGACTTTGAAGAATTTGCGAGGATTTACAGCGGTTAGGCATGAAAAAGAAGAGCGAAGGCATCAGAAATCTCTTGTTTTTATTGAAGTCGATCGAGCTAGCCAGGTTTACTTTTCATGAATTCCATAAATGGATTTGGGAACCTCAATGAAATTTGTATTTCTAGTATTAAGGTCATATTTTTCCTCAATTCAGTCACTATTAGATTTTCCCCATTTGTTTTTATTTAATTGGAGTTGTGTTACGGGTGGCGAAGGTCCTGCCGTAGTTGAAATGATAGTAACAATGGTGATGACTACAAATGTGATGCTGCTTTATAATTTACAAATCTGGCAATTGGGCTTCTTTTTAATCACGCTACTGGTTTATGCTGAGATGCTAACAATTGGTGGAAAAAAAATTATGCGTATCAGGACATGGTGGATTTGAGAGACTGCTATGATAGGTTATCTTCGGTTGCAGCAGAAACGGCAAACAACGCATATGGTATGTTATTTGGTGTATAGATTTTTATTATTTTTGTTTTCAAATCTGACTCCCTTTATTCTGCAATTTATACACAAATATTGACACAATGAAGAATGTAGAGTAGGACTTTACGTCCAATAGCTCCAATGGTTAGGCTAAAATTCTTGTTTATGGGTCATGTTTTCTGCGATAAAGGGTTTTTGGTTTCCGATGCACGTTATTGGACATTTTCAACTTGTAAACTGAAGTAGGCCAAGTTTTTCCTCTGTGCTTCAGGGGTTTGGTTTTCCCTTTCGAAAGAAGTTTGCATTACTGGTGATTATTATTAAATGGTACTACTAATGGATGGCTAGTCATATCTTTAAGCATTTTGGCATCTGGAATAACTGTTTGACAAGCATTTAAAAATCTTTTTGGGAGTTTCTTTTAGCTTGGAACTATTTTAATTTGTATTATTTTGGTCAAAGCTATTAAGAAGTCTTCTAATCAATTCCACTATCCTCAGAATTCGCAGAATCACTGGGGCAAATGGGTGATTGTCTGCTCGAGAAAACAGCTTTAAATGATGATGAAGAAAGTGGTAAGTTGAAATTTTATTGTGTATATACCAATGGTCCTCTGTAAGTTGTTATGCATGAATTAATACTATACAGCACTTAGGTTGGTAATCAAGGATGTTTTTCTGTCTTATTTAATTATTTTTATTTTTATTTTTTGGGTTGGTTCAGGAATACAATCCTCATCATTTGCACTCGTCTTTTGAACTCAGCCATATCAGAGATGCTAAAATTGCAAATTATTAGTGTTTTTCCCCTTCGTTTCCCATTTTTTGAATATTTATGTTGCAAGGCATTCTCTTTGCTCTACTGATTGTGTGGGACTACTCTCTCAGTTAACTATAATGTTTATAGACATCATCTTCTGGTCCAATTGGTCAACCAGCTTTATAGCAGCTTGATTACAAGGACAGCCCTTTCCCTAAAACATGTGATGGCATTCAACTATATTCACATCTTTCAAACCAAGACACTACTTTTTAGCACCGAACTCTTTTAGTCTCCTTGGCGTCTGCGGATGACCGGCTTCACAGTTAGGTCTTGGCGTTCTTGGATTTTATGTTTCCTCTCCTCCAGAAAGCGAATGTTGTTCCGTATGTTCATCATTCTATTCTGTANACTGATTGTGTGGGACTACTCTCTCAGTTAACTATAATGTTTATAGACATCATCTTCTGGTCCAATTGGTCAACCAGCTTTATAGCAGCTTGATTACAAGGACAGCCCTTTCCCTAAAACATGTGATGGCATTCAACTATATTCACATCTTTCAAACCAAGACACTACTTTTTAGCACCGAACTCTTTTAGTCTCCTTGGCGTCTGCGGATGACCGGCTTCACAGTTAGGTCTTGGCGTTCTTGGATTTTATGTTTCATGTCCTCCAGAAGCAAATTTTGTTTTGTATGTTCTTCATTCTATTTTGTATGATTTTGGAGTATGAGAGCAAGGGATTGAACTATCTTATAGTAGACCATGCAAAGCTTGTAGCTCAGCTGATTTTCTCCACTCTTTATCCTTGCTTGTTAGGGCTTTAGTTTTCAGTAAGGAAGCCAGGAAGTCTAGGCTTGACTAATAAGACAGAAATAACTTTTCTCGCTTGTTTAGTATTTCTTTGGCTTCGCCCTATCTTGTTGGCACGTACATAGTTTTATATCGATTTCCACTAGTTCAAGTTCGGTCATACAGCATTCATGCACTTCCCTTTATTCCATGGGGACTTCTCCAGCAAGAAGCCATTAAAAGTGAAGGTTGGAGAGGAGTCCACATGTAAAAGCTAGGACTTTAAGTACGCCTACTGAACTGTTCAAAAAATCACTTCAAAAATAGATTTGAGATATAGTCAATGGAATGGCTCACCCCAGTAGTAGAGAGTGCTTATGTTATAGGGGAACTCATAGCTGGTTTGTTGGGAATACCAAACAAAACTATAGTCCAGGGGATAATAAAATTCAAAATCTAAGCTGGTTGGTGAGCCTAGTGATAGGAGACTATCTAGCCTAGTGCGCAGCTACATCTAGCTTACACTACGGTAGAGGAGGTGCTGTGAAGATCTAGGAGTGTGAGCAGTACAAGCTGAAAGACTCCCATACTATTTGGAGTGGAGGGTAGGGTAGGGTAGGGCAGGACAAACTTGACCCCTATCTATCATCGTAGAAGCTATTTCTTGGAAAGAGTATGGTTCTCGAGTATCCAATCAACTAAGCCTCCAAACCGAGGAAGCTAAAGTGAAAATAAAGGAGTCCTCGCTTGCTGGGAGTGAAATCAATCAAGAAGTCTGATGAAAAACAAAGGACATCAAGTTTGACTTTAAGACGTGGAAATCGAGCTAGGAACAAGAGAGGAGAGATAAAACAAGGATGGTGTGCAACGAAAGGCTTACCTTTTCTCGGCGAATAGGAAAGCATAATTTTTATCTGTGTCATGGGCTAGACTAATGTGCTATTATGCTTTCTTCAAAGGATGGCTACTTCCAAGCCTATCTCCTGGTTGTCATCGCTCGATCATTTCCTAAGGAGATCATGTTCTTGCTAATCAAACAAGTGCACCAAATCAAATAGATGCCTTAATCGGACAATAGCTAATCTAAGAGAGTTCAAATCATTGGTCCGAGGTAAAGGAATAAGATCCTAAAGAAGCAAAGCTAAAGTAATCCCATCTGAGACTATAAGGGAATTTAAGTTAGAAGAATTCTAGTCAAAGTCAAGGTCGTAAGCCATAGCACGTCTCTTCTAATATCCTGAGTATTAGATGGAAGGTCAAGTCGAAAGCTAAAACTAACGCTCACCTCGGATCAAGTCAGCACCACTTGCAAGTTCATGTTCACGAGAAAGCGAAGTTCTAAAGAAAAGTTGATGACACGGACTTCAGTCATCATTCATTCGGCCCTGCTACACATTCTTTGTACTCATCAGGCGAGATGTCGATTTTCCTTCTCCACAATTCCGTTTTGCTGTGTAGTATAAGAATAGACAAACTATCTGTGATTCCCGTGATTTTCAAGTAAGCACCGACTTTTGGGATGTGTATCCCCCTCCAGAGTTTATCCTCAAACATAGTTTTCTTGCTTTTACTTTCTAAATAAAATTCTCCGCCAAGCTTCTGAACTCTATGTCACACTAGTGCCATAAAGGCTTTTGGTGGGCTTATTGGCGCATACCATGGTGGGTCTTCGGCTAGGGTGAAGTATAGTATAATTGGAATTGCAGTGGTTTTTCATGTCATTTTTACTGAAGCTAATTGTCTTTTATTTTTGCTTTCATGAAATGTAATTTGTGTAGCCTTATACTATGTGCCTTTAAAGATCTCTCGGTCTTTATCAGTTTCACATATTTGTATATTAACTAAATTAGAATGCAGACAGCTCTGTTGTTGTTGTCATTATTATTTTTATTTTTATTTTTTTCAAAATCCAACTGATTGCTGTTTTGTGCAGGAAAAGTTCTGTTGATGCTGGGAAAAGTGCAGCTTGAACTTCAGAAAATTGTTGATGGTTATGTACGTATCATATTGGTGTATGAATTACTTCAGATTTCTTTCTGTTTCTTACAATATATACCTCTATTTGTTAAAATGCTGCATTCTGCATTTCAGCGCTCTAATATATTTAAGACAATCACCATCCCATCAGATTCTATTCTTAATGAGCTATGCATAGTTGAGGTGAGTTCCATGAATTATTCAATTAATTTCAAGTAAATTTTCTGTGGTCAGTCCCATTATTGTTCTGTGATGCGCTTTTTACCATGAGCATTGTGAAGAATGAAAAACGCTTCTATCCCTGCCTCCCACCCCTGTAAGAAAGGATGATGGGTCTAACATTAGAAGTATGTGACCCTTTGTTGGAATTATTTTGATTGTTTTTGGATCTTCTTTCATTTTTTTTAATTTGTTGTGTGGATTCTAGCCTGAGGGTAGACTGCTTAAAGTATTTTTTCCTTGTTCGTTGCTTCTTTCATTCATAAGTACCTGGCTTTACAATATCAGCTGGACTTATTAATGTACTTGCAAACCAGGTATACAATTCTGCTTATTTGGCTTTACAGCATGTTTGGCTGTGCTTAAA